CTGTCTCTCTGGCAAGCACACATGCTCTATGACAAAAAATGTCTCTTAAAAATATCAGTTTGGGGCCAGCAGGAGGCATAGCTGGTTAAGGGCGCTGGACTCCCACATGGTTGACTGTGGTTTGAGTCCTGAACCTGGTGACTTGTTTTCTAACTTTCCCCTCTCTCACTCTGTCCCTCTCTGGTCAAATTAATATAAATAAATAAAGTTAAATAAACGAATTCTTTAAAAAAATCAGTTAGACTTCTGATTAAATGGGCTTAATTTTTTAAAATTATTAAGTATTCCATATATACAAAGAGTCTATATAATGCAAAAAATAAGGCATAAAGAAAAAAAAAACTAAAGCAAATACCCATATACTTACCACCCAGTTTAAGACACACATAACAGACACTGCAGGGCAAGCGATAGCTCGAGGGCCATTTTCCCATCTCCCAAGTGCGTGTCTTCCTTTTCACTGCATTCCTATCCATTCCCATCAGGGGAATCACAATGATAAATGTTTATCAATTTCTGTCTGTTTCACAGCTTTGCTGTATGTATGCCTGTATCTCTAAACAACACGATGCTGTTGTGAATGTTCTTGAATGCCTCGTAAGTGGAGTAATATGCTTGTGTCTGCAACCTGTTGTTCTGCTCGGCATTTTGTTTCTAAGATTTATCCATGGTAATGGGTACTGCTGTAAAGAATTTCATCATAGAATACACTCTGATGTGCTCACCCTTCCCCTATCAGTAGACATGGGGGTCAGTTCCAGGTTTCTGCAGTAGAAGCAGTACCTCTGAACACTCTTTTGGAAGTCTTCTGGGCATACTGCAAGTGTCTTTAGGGCGACAGAGGTGGAATTTCTGGGTGAAAGGTATGCATATCTTTAACCGTATTACAGAAGGCCGAAGTTTTTCAAAGTGGCCCACACAGATGAAACCTTTCCCACTCAGTTTAGAGTGCTCATCCATCTGCTTTTGGCCATATACGGTATTGAAGGACATTGGTTTTTGCCAGTCTGGTGTGTATAAAATGGTAACTCACTTGGTTTGTGCGTGCATATGTTAAAATATAGATAGCATGACATTTGCCGCTTTACCCATTTTTAAGCAGCGTTAAGGGGCATTAATTACATTCACAGTATTGTGTAATCATCACCGTATCTATTCCCAGGCGCTTTCATTAGCGCACATAGGAAGCCTGTAGCCATCTAGCAATAACTTCCGCTTTCCTCCAGCCCCTGGTAACCTCTGATCTACTTTCTGTCTCTGGGAATTTCACCATGGCTTGTAAAGCGCCTGAACAGCATATTTTAATCTCAATGAGTTTACAATTCATTTGCCCATTAAAAAGAAGTTTCAATGTATACACCTAATGTGGACAAAACAAACTCTTTACTTGTTCTTTTCATTGGTTCTCCACCAGCACCAAACAGGGAGGATCAGGGCAGGGGGAGATCATTTTCCAGAACTACGCGTGCTCCCTCACTTCTAAGACCTGGGTCCTTGTCCAGTGTGTTTTGAAGGATCAGATCTGTGTGTGTGTGTGTGTGTGTGTGTTGGTGGGCATGTGTACTTGCCAGAGAGAGACAGAGAGAGAGGAGAATGGAGCCCTCCCCCATGGAGAATGGTCATGCTCCGGTCCCCTCTTCTGCCTTTTACTCCTGTCTGGGAGTTTGGGCGTGTGCGTGGTCATGCTCCGGTCCCCTCTTCTGCCTTTTTTTCCTGTTTGGGAGTTTGGGCGTGTGCATGCACCCACCTGGCATGTTTCTCAAGCTGCTGGGGCCGGGACTTGCCATGTAGTTAGCCATGTGGGGTCAGGCTTCTCTTAGCCACGAGGCCAGCCCAGTCTCTTATTTTATATTTTATATTTCAAAAGTTTGAAATCCACACATAGCTTTTCTTTCTTTTTTCTTTTTTTGAGTTTTTTTCATTATAGGGCGCGTGCGCTCGCCAGACAGACAGAGACAGAGAGACAGAAAGCGAGAAATCACCCCCCAGGGGGGATGGCCACGCCACAATCCCTTCTCCTCCATTCTCCTCTCCGAATCTTGGGCACGCACGCACACGCGCCCGGCGTGAGTTTTAAGCCACCGGGTCCCGGACGCAAACCGCGGTCGACTACATGGGAGTCCAGCGACGTAGCCATTACGCTAACTGCTGGTTCCCCACACATAGCTTTTCACAATACACACGTTCTTCCGTGAACATTTTGAAGACCCCTCACATAAGAACTCCTCTAGCTGCCAGGACAAGTACCCCAGAGGGGCTCGTACTTGTCTGAGTTAGATGTGCCCACCAAAGGGAACCGACCGCGAACTTCAATCATCCCTGGGGCGTAACTCCATTTCTGAAGGAACTGCTGGCTTCAGGGCCAGGAGGTTTCCTTGTGACGGGGCTAGTGCAGGTGTGGACGTTTCCCTCCGATGGGGCGAGTGCAGGTGTGGGCCCTTACCGCCCTCTCTAGCACATGCACTCCAGGACCCGAATTCGAAGGCAACTGGGCAATTGCCAATTGGAGCAAGAGCAGCCTCCTCCCTGGAGGCGGGTGAGGCGCAGCTCTGCGCTCCTCGTTCTGCTCAGCGAGCTGCGAGCTGCCCTGGAAGGGAGAACCCCCCAATTGCGTCCTCCTCACCTCAGGGCAGCAGGCTGTGCTGCTCAGGCCTGGGTGCCTCCCAGAGAGATGCTGCACCCTTGGTTCCCATGGGCCCCCTGAGAACAGCCCACCCTCACCCCAGCCTGCCTCTAGGTCTGCAGCAGTGCCTGAGCTCTATTCTCGGCGGCTCTAGTAACTGAAAAGACCCTTCTGTGGCTCATGGCAGGAGACTTCTAACCCCATCTCTTACCTGAGGGAGTCTGGGAGACCCGACAGCCAGGATGGGTGTGACCCTGGGAGCCCATGGCAGGAGGCAGCAAGATGGCACCCTGACTGGATCCCATGCTCTCCGCAGACCCTCTCGCGTGGAGTTGCCCAGGTGGGTCCCACAGGGTCGACCTCTGCACCAAGCAAGACTCCTCTGCAGCCACTCCACTGGAGATCTTTCCTCCATGGCTGTCCTCTGCTACCCAGCCCCTCACTCCACTCCCAGACTTCCGGTAGCCTCCCTGAGTCCCCGGCCTCACTTCGTCCCCTCCTAGCCATTCTCCCTCTCCCTCTGGCTCCAGGGTGATTAGCTCTCGCTTCTAACTGGCACTGCCTCCCTAGACCAACCTCCTTGTGCTGGCGTTCAAGTCCTTGCCACCTGGCTGGACTCATTTCCCCTCTCTGCCCCTCACACCTTCCCCCGCCACACACACCCAGCGCCATCACAGTCAGCGAGGGCACATGGTCCCAGTGCTTGGCCCAGCCCTCTGGCTGCCCATCGCAATGCAATGGCCTCGCTGGCTGCCCGCCTGGCAACCCCACGGGCCTGGCCTGGCACATCCAAAATGCCTGTTGAGCACATGAAACCACCTCGAAAATGCTGCTGCCATGTGTGCAGCTGCTGTGGCCTCCCAGAGCCCCACCAGGTCTGTGCTTTCTGGAAGCACTGCTTTGAGGGGCACTGCGAGGTCAGCCCCCTTTTCACTTGACCTGCTGGGCCTTCTGCCACGTCCCTCAGGAGAGCCTGGCTGGTCACTTTCTCATCTTCTGCCTTCTCAAGTTCACTTTAACCTAGGGACACCACAGAAGTCCTGGCTGCCATCCTACGTGGGCATGGACCCTCTCCCACACTCTGGCACTCTGGGTCTCCAGTGCAGCCACGGTGACAGCCATGGGTTCCTTTCGTCATCTCTGTGCTCAGATTCCGTCCTGAGCACTCAGCATGCCACGTGGCCTCTTGTATCGAGGAAGGCCTGGAGGCTGGCCCACTCAGTGTCCAAGTCTTAGCCCGGTCCCTGAGCCACCTCTGAACTCTCCCAAGGCGTGAATCCACAGAGGGAGCAAGGATGAAGCCTTAGGCTTGGGGACCTCGTCTGGAGCTCGATCGTCCTCCCAGATGGGAAGGATCTGCTGAAATCCTTGCCAGCTGTGAGGTGGAAGGCAGCCCATTCCCTGCCAGCCGAGCCCCACCTGGACCCCCTCTGCCTCTGCCAGGGTGGGATGGGGGCTTACACTTGGCCTGGCAAAGATCCTAGCCACCAGGGCACAGAGGCAGGGGGTTCCGGCCACACGGAATGGCAGTGCTGGAAGCCCAGTGAGCAGGGTGCTTTCCTGCGCTACGAACTTGCATTGGTCCCTGACCGTGGGGCAGTGGGTGGTGCTGCTGTCACCGCCTGGTCACTTCACCTTGGGCTGCTCCCAAGGACATTTGTGCCCGTCTAACAGGGAAGAGGCTCTGGAAGCCTTAATGGTAGTCCCGGGAGGTTTAGCAGGCTGAGGGTCTGAAATATGTCGTTGGCCCCGGCCCTTGCAGGGCCTTCCCCAGCTGGGGACCATGAGTCTGTGTCCCCAGTCGGGGGAGTGGCTTTGGCTTGTAGGAGCAAGATCAACCCGAGGGAAGGAGGGAATGTTGTCTGAAGGCTGGGGTGCTGGGGCAGCGAGCAGGGATGTCTCCTAGGGCTGGGGAACGTGGGAGCCACAGCTAGAGCTCAGTTTACCGGCAGGCACAGGGTGGAGAGGAGGGTGGGATGGGGTAGGAGGGTCCCCTAAGGCCTCTTCTAAGTTTGAGTCTGCATCAGGGCTGGGAAATCCAGACTCGTCCACTGCCCAATCTCCCAGGGGATAACGGGAAGAAATCCTACCCTGCTCCGCCCCCCTGGCTGCTCTTCCCGGCCTTCAGAGACCTGCCCAGACGCCCCTACTCGGCTAGCCAGGGCCCACCGCCTCCTCCGCTCATCCGGGCGTTCAAGATCCCGGAGACTTGGCGCCCTCCCTTCCCTCACCGGGTCCTGGATGCCCCTCCGCTGTCCTCTCCCCTCCATCACCCCTCTTCCTCCTCCTCCCCCCATAGCTCCTCTGACGCCCTTTCCCAACGCCCCCCCAGCCCTCGCACACTCCCTGGACCTGCTCTTGTGCTCCTCAGTCTCTCTTAACCCGGGGCCAGGAGGGGGCCGGTGGGCCCGACGTGGGCCCCTGGGCGCGGCTCCCCGGTGGTCCCGGAGTAGAAGGAGCCGCTTTTCCCGCCGTGCCGAGGCCCGGGAAGGAGAAAGGACGACAGGAGACCGGGTGCAGTCCCTAAAACAGGCTCTTTAATAACATTTATGTCTTCACTGAAGAGCTTCGTTTTCCCAGCCGGCGGGCCGGGCGGCGGCGGCGCTAGT